ATGGAAGAGCTGTCAAGACACTTTTTAGAAGAGTAACTCTACCCCCATTGGAAAGGAATGAATTTGCCCAGCAGTTTAGTTTATCCTGAATTTACAATCATCAAATTGAACTTGTCTTGTTTTCCCGTTCACAAGCAAAGTACCTAGGTATTTTAAAGGCAGAGAGCTGGTCTTGAAGCCACTAATGTCAGTAGTCCAATGCTTAATTTCAGGTTTAACTTTTTTGCTAAACACCAAAAGACATTTCTTAGTATGGAATTGCATACCAGAACATTTCTGAAACTTCTCCAGGCATTGAAGAACCAATTTAACAGCTAGTTTGGTTGCTTTGGCAAAGATAATAACATCATCAACAAATGCTAAATGATTCACAACAATGTTGGATCTATGACTGTAGAGTGTACGAGGGGATGAAACCATGAGCTGATTCAACATTTTAGAAAAGTAATCAAAAGCAATGATGAAGATAGTTGGAGACAGTGGGTCACCTTGCTTGATTCCTCTAGATGAGGTGAAGAAACCATCAGATTTACCATTTATAAACACAGATTGAGAGTTGTTTCTTAGCCATCTATGTATCAGTAAGATAAATTTTTCATTAAATCCCTTAGCATACAACACTTCCTCAAAGAAATCCCAGTTGATGGTGTTATATGCCTTCCTAATATCCAATTTCATTATAAGGTTCCCCCCTCTGCATTGCTTGTCCAGATCCAACACCAGTCCTTGGGCTAGCAGAAAATTCTCTACAATGCTTCTCCCTTTAATGAAAATTGGCTGGTTCTCACAAATAAGCTTGGGAAGGAGGGGTTGGAGTCTGTTTGAGATCACTTTACTAATCATTTTAGATGACACATTTGTGAGGTTAATGGGCCTGAAAAGATCCCAAGAGATAGCAGAAGAAGATTTGGGAATTAGAGTTATGTTGGAGCTTTTAAAATAGTTGGGAAGATCCAAACCTCTGAAGAAACCTTGGACAGCCTTTATAATATCATCTTTAATGACCTTCCATGATTTCTTATAGAAATCAGCAGAAAATCCATCAGGACCAACAACTTTGGAGCTATCAATGGAAGCTAGAGCAGACCAAATTTCCTCTTCCCCAGGGATAGATGTCAGATCTAGTCCCCTCATGAAGTTCTCATCCCTGCAAAACAAATCCTGTTGGATGGTGGGCCTAAGAGCAAAAGGTTGTTTAAAGAGTGTTTGGTAGTAGTTAACAGCACTAACAGCAATCAAGTCATCAGAATGGAGCCACTTGCCATCAGTCTCCCTAATCTTATGAATTGTGTTGCACTTTCTTCTAAACTTGATACGAGCATGAAAATATTTTGAATTTCTATCCCCTTCATAAAATCTGGTCTTAGCAGCCTTTTGGGAAAAAAACTCCTCCTGCATATAGATGGAATTCATCAACTTTTCATTTGCTATCAATAGATCCTTCTCCACATCAGGGTTAATCTCTATTTCAGCTTCCAAAATAGCAACTGTCTCTTCAGCCTCCACTACATTTAAGTTGATATCTCCCACTGTTTTCCAATTCCAGTTAGATAAGTGTCTGCCTAACTTCTTTTGCAGTTGCCATAACTTAATCAGAGGGTTGGAATGGTGGCAATCCCTCCAAACCAATGAGACCTGATTAAGGAAGTCTTTGTGGGAAGACCACATGTTGAGGTATCTAAAACTTGGCTTGTGCATGACATTTGATGCAGAAATTTTCATAAGCAGTAGTCTATGATTTGATCCTGTCATGCTGAGATGCTGCACAGAAGTGTGAATGAACTCACTAAGCCACATGGAATTCACAGAAATTCTGTCTAAGATTTCCCAAAGTTGACCCCTCCTCCAGGTAAATTTTGGACCAGAAAAACCAAGGTCATACAGACCAGCAAGTTGCTTTGATCATTGAGATAATTCATCTTGTTGAGGTCAGGAGGGCACCACACAACTTTTCTGAAGGTACAAAAATACAGTTAAAGTCTCCACCAACCATCCAAAAAGAGTTACAAGAGCTACTAATAGCCTTAAGACTCTCCCAAAGCTCCTTTCTAGCACTATAAGAGCACCCAACATATACAAAAGCAGCCAGACCAGTTTGACTCCCAACTTGAAGCTTGATATGGAGGAATTGTTGGTGATCCCACAGTATACTGCAAGACACCTCCTTCGTATGTAATACCAAAATCTTGTTATTCAAATTAGAAACATAAAGAAAACCAAAGAATTTTTTTTATAATTCTCTGGGAATTTTTAGAGACCATAGGCTCCAGAATAGCCATCAACTAAAATTTATACATCCTATTCAAGGCCATCAGTCTGTTAAGGGATTTAGGATGTGCCAATCCCCTAACACTCCAACATAGAAAGTTCATCATCCAATAGATACTGATTTTCCCCTCCTTCTGGCTTTAGCCATATCCTCTATAGCTTCTTTATGAGATTTTCTATCCCTGAGAATGCAACTTCCCCCCTTTTCAGAATTTAAAACTTGGAAACCCTTTTTCTTTTTCTTTGCTTTCTAGACAAGCCATTCATCCTCCAGTACTGTTTGTAACCCCTTAATCAAGGTTGTGTCAATCTGTTGTTTGCCCAGGGCAGCCTCAACCCCTAAATCCTGATTAGTATCCCCTCAATAGTATTCCAATCAGTGTTTTGTACTTCATTGATTGTCTGGTTATAACCTGAAAGGTCAGCTTCTGAAATAGCATTGGCCTTATCATGTACATCCTGCTGGTCCAGCTGGTCAACATTCTCATTCTCAACTTGGACAGGGATGATGCCCTGATGGCCATCATCCTCACTACCCTTGGTTATCACTTGATTCAAAGGATTATCATAATCCTCTTTTCTCAAAAGCCCAACATCAACAGAGAAATGATTAGCCTCCTTTGAAGTCCCCCCAGCAGTTCTTCTGAGATGGGGATGGCTTTTATAACATTTGTTATCAGTGTTCCCAAACATGCTGCAATGGAAACAGTAGTATGGCTTCTATTCAACAACTATCCTTTGCCAATAGCCATTATGCTTAGTCCCCAACCAAATTTCCTCCCCAACAGGAAGGGTGATATCCCTTTCCACTAATATTCTGGCTACTGAAGGTCTAGAAAGGTTGTAAGTAGGGACATCCAACTTCAAAGGTTTTCCCAGAGCTTGACCAATATTAAACAGAACTTTATGATTAAAGAAGTGAAGCCTTAACCCAGGGAGTTTGAACCAAATAGGAACTACAGGCAGCTCCTTGCTCAGGTCAAACTCAGTGGACCATTTCAAGATTTTCATAGTAATATCATCAATCTATAAAATCTATTTGGAGAAAACTCTAGCATAATCATCTTCTCTTGATAGCTTAATAAGGATGTGCCTGCCATCAATGAGACCCACCCTCCAAACACCTTTGAGTTTAATGCCATCAAAGAATTTTCTAATGGCTTCTATTTTTGGGTGTCCCATCTGGAACTTACCAATGAGAGAAAATTTGCAAACCTCAGTCATGTTCTGAATCTCTGAATCAATATAAATGATAGCCACCTTCCCATTTTTCCTACTCAGAGGTTTAATTAATGGGTCAGCCACCTCATGGTAGCTCTGGGGGAAAACAAGGCAGTCAAAATCCTTAACAGTAAAAGCTCCTTTACCCACCACATCAGCAAAAGTGGCCTTAGCCCATTGGACATTGGTAGCTAAATCCATATTGTTAAGCTCAGCCATAGCCAAACAAAACACAATAGAATAGTAACCAATTCAAATAGAGGTTTCCCGGTAAGCAAAAAACCAAAAAACCAAACAAAGTAAAAGATCCAAAAGAGAGAGAAGCCACTAGAAGAAGAGAAATAACCAGTTAGCAACCACAAAATGAGGAAATCAATGGAAACCCTAGCAGAGTAACCGCAAAGCCAGCCGCCACTCCAAGCTCCATCATATATATATAGTTGTGTGTGTGTGTGTAAATTAAAAAACCCTTTTCAAAGCAGGCAATTGGATTTTGATTTCAGCGGCTTATAACTTCTAACTGGCAACTCCTCAACTTTTTAGTGTCGACAGCTTCCAACGGGCAACTCCTTAACTGCTAAGTGCCGACAGCTTCTGGCAACTCCGCTGGGGGATATTTTCTATCTCCATTTAAATTAAGGAATATTGTCTTCATAAATCGGTAATGTGTTTATGTCCCTCATGAACCAAATCACCCTTCTTCCATTGACATGCTTCACTGATTTCTTTTTTGGGGAGGTACGGTCAACTCTTCCAGACTTCAGGACCATCTGTTCAATCACCTTTGAATAGAGAGGTTCAGGAGTTCATTATGATTTTTAATCTCTTTGTGGGGTTGGACCCCCAATAAGTGTGTCGATGGACTAGTTCTGCCCAGGCATTGTGCGCTGTAAATTTGGTCTTACACTGGGTCCTAAACTTCACTTTCCTCTTTGAGTTTGGTTTGTTACTTTGTAAATTAAATCAAACTGTAACATGTTGCTCATACTCATTAAATTTTCTTAAATTAATTAAATCTTTCCACTTGTAAAATATTTTTATTAAAGTTTAAAATCTTCACAA